TGTGGGTATTTAGAATTGTTTCATTGGTTCTTGAGTAATGACCAATTAAAATGCTTTAATTGATGAGGTCTGCCACACATTTGACACACAAGTTCAGTCTTGATTGGCTATGAAACAGCGAAATCTTGTTTAAAATGCTCGAAATTGTAGTAAATCTAAACAATACAAATGTACAGCGAGCCCTTAATATCTTTTGGGATTTGGTTCCATGGCTTCTCGTGGATACTGAAATCTTATTCTGCAAAAAGATGCCTTCACTGAAGCTTTTTCATGATTCCTTGTTTCCATGACAACCCCAAATTTTCAAAATCCAATTTTCACAGGAACAGAAACCGAAGTGAAATCTGAATAGTGGCACAGACAGCAGCAAAACAAACATTATAGGGGTATTAACCCTTCCCCATGCTACCCAAAACTACAAAAATGGCTGGAATTACACTACAGATTCACCAGTGGAGGCACCTTTTCCCACGACTTACATACAAATTCAGTTCAAGAACAGTCCTAAAGAACCTATCTTGCTGGTAACCTGGGGACTACCTGTATGCATATAAAACTTGACTGCAAATATTCAAGCTGCCTGTAGATTATGAATTGGTGTGCATGTTTTGACTTCCTTTAATACTGAAGAATACTCCTGCCTATAGATTTTAGGCTAGTAATATTTGAAGGTCTAAGTTCGAGCTACAAAAAGAGAGCCACCTTGTAACTTTGACTGAGAGTGAATCAGAGCAAACTAAACAATATAGCTAGAAGCCAAAATGTGGCTTCTGTTTTCCACTAGTAGGAAAGGTGAGGAACTTGATTCTTACGTCTTTAAAACTAAATAATCAAAGCTAGCACCCCAAATTATTATTGTTACTCAAAACTACATGTCTTAAATTTCTTTCAGCTTTCTAGTGGTAGGGACCTACTATACTGCCTACTCCACACTTCATAAGGAACATTGCATTATGTAGATTTTTCAAAGTACAGTATTAGCAAATGTTTTATTTTTTTTTGGCAGCAAAACTGTATGTACTGTTATCAAAAATAGTAAAGCAATAAGTAAAAATATACAGTATAGGAGTTATAGTTAAGCTATAGATTGACCTCTTTTATCTTAATTCTGCACATTTATTTGGTCAGTGGAACTTGTTAGTAATGCTAATGAAGGCTCTTAGAATTGTAACCAGAGACAACCTGTGATTCAGACATACTTTAAAAGCTTATCTTTGCTGAAAATGAGATCTCCACATAAAATAGATTGTGGCTAATGAACATATCTATATAAATAAAAATGTAATGTTTGTGGGATTAACATAACTCAAAAACCACTGGACGAATTGACACCAAATTTGGACACAAGACACCTCTCAGGCCAACGAGTGACAATCGCTCATAAAAATACTGGAAAACACAGTGAAAAGGACTTAAATAGGCAAAAATGCAAAATACATAACAGCACACAAAATACATATACACAGACTGGGACACAGCAACGCGTGGCAGGGGATGGCTATTATCAATAAAAAATGTAATGTGTGTTTGTGGGATTAACCTAACTCAAAAACCACTGGACGAATTGACACCAGATTTGGACACAATACACCTATCAGGCCAATGAGTGACCATCACTCATAAAACACTGAAAAACACAGCAGAAGATACTTAAAAAGCGATTTTAAAAAATACAAGGCATGCGCAAAACCACACACACACACACACACACATATACTGAAAAACACAGCAGAAGAGACTTAAAAGGCCAAAAAAAAAATACAAGGCATGCGCAAAACCACACAAATATACACAAATATATATACACAAATACACATATACACACACAAAGCACATATTCACAGACTGGGCCACAGCAACGTGTGGCAGTGGACGGCTAGTCTCTAATATATTCAGTGTAGAATTCTTGTTTTTTCTGATGTTTTGCAGCTAGATAACATGAGGTAGTGTTACACCCTAGGTAGTTTAGATCTGATTAAAACCAATACATATATTGTAAAATCTTAGTGTACAAATGTCTCTTTTTTAAAAATTACTTTATTATCTATATTTATAATATTAAAAACATATTTGGAGCATACACTAATAAAAGCCATAGTTGTCTGTTCAGTTTCATAGAGGGACATAGAGAAAATTATGGCTTTTTTAATCTACTTAAAGAATGATGGATCATACCTTCTTTGGGAGATCCTGCATCGTAAATTATCTATATTTTAATGTATTTTTGTATTAATGTATTATGATGCTATTATGTTTATTCTATGTGTGTATGAATTTTCCGCTGTTAGCTGGCCTGAGTCCCTCTTCGGAGGTCGAGAAGACCGGGTTATAAAAGATCTAAATAAATAAATAAATAATAAATAAATAAATGGGCCACAAGGTATTTTTTTACTTATTAGGGGTGAAGGTCTTCCATTTTAGAAGAGCCATAGTTCAATTGTAAACACTTGCCTTGAATGCAGAGGTCCAAGTTGAATCATTAACATATTTGGGTTCTATTTGAGACCCTGGAGAACCCTTTCTGTCAGTGTGGATTACTCTGATGCATATAGACCAGCTATCTAATGCCTGTTTATATTACCCTTTTATTAAGAATTTGATATGATGAGTGTCAAGCTGTCTCCTGGTGCAGAGTAGTAGCTGGCTTCTCCAGCTTGGAGGTGAAGACAGAAGAAGGAAATAGCTGTTGACTTGTTTTGGAGATACTCAACCAAGGCCAGCCATATTCGGAGGATACTGAAGGTCATTTTTAATGGCTAAGCAGCTAGTCTGCACATTTAACATAAAAATTAAGAATTTCCAATTTTTTTGAGATATTACAATACAGTATTTTCGGAATTGGGAGAAGAGTGAGAAATTCAATTTTTAAAAAATCTGAAAATAATGCAGTATTAGGATTTCTACAGATTGATTTTTTAACTTTAGGAACAGAAAATGTATGATCTGTTCTGGCATGAAATGATCATGTTTGGTATATTAAAAGTACCATACAGATAATAATTAGAAATTGAATTTATTTCACTAAATTTAATTGCTTTGGAGCTATAGTGTCCTGAACTGAACTTTTTTGATTTTGCCTGTTAGGACCAGAAACAAAAACAATAAAAATCAGCTTTAGTAGAAAATGTTGTTTCCTCCAATCATAATATCAGATCAACATAAAGCATTAATTTTCATAAGTATTGAAAAAGGAAACTAAAACAAGGTGTGGTATGATAATGTGTGTGTGTGTGTGTGTGTGTGTTTGAATGTATTGTTTTTATATTTTATTTTTCATTATAAAAATGTTGCGGAAACACTTTTTTCATTTTTCTGGGGTAAAATGGCTGGAGAAGAAAAGAAGTTCCAATTTCTCTCATATTTTTCCATCTCTATTAGGAACCAGTGAAGATCTGTTATACCCTGCTGTGATAATTTCCTGAACTTACTAGATATTACTATCCTGCTTTGTGTTCATTTAAAATTCTGTTTAAAACTTAATTTATAATTGCTGATCATGAACAGCAAAAAAAAAATCAATTTTGTGGGTGCACGGGAGGAAATAGTGTGTTCCTTAGTAAATTGTAGTGCATCTAGAAAACATGAACATTGGGCTTCAGAGTAGACCCAGTTGATTAATGGTAAGACAATGGTTATGTAAATCACACCTCTAGTGAGGACTGACAATTTGAGATTGCCTTGTTTTCCAAGTGAATGGACTTCCTTAGTTGTTGTTTTGAATAAAATATTTTAAGTGGAATGTAGCTAATAAAAGATAAAACTTAGAATTGGAAGGGCAGGACAAGAAATGAATTGGGGAGGAAAAGAAGATTTTTTTTTAAAAAATAGGTTGAATGTTCTTTATCAAGAATGCCAAAGTTTGAAATGCTTGAGAATCATCCACATGGGTGGCTGAAATAGTGACACACCTTTGCTTTCAGTGGATGCAAACTGTTTTTTGTGCATAATATTATTAACAATAGTGTATAAAAACTTTCTGGTGTTTATGAAATGTAAATTATCTTTTTCATAGGATTTGAGTTTCCATCTCCAAGAGATATAATTACTACATATATACAGATAGAAGTATTGCAAGATAAAATACCCACCTGACAACCTAGGAGAAAACTATCCTGGTTTTTAAGTTGTGAGAGAATGTATGTTCTCTTGGAGGCCCATTCACCGGAGGGCCCAGATTGTTTACAGCAGCTGATTAGACATTTGAAATTTCCTGCAGTTTGGATGTATCTGGAGTACAAAGTGGGACATCTAAGCTACATCAGTGACTTAAATCTATGTTCTTTATTACTTCTGAATGGCCTTGAATTAACAATACCCATACATCTAAGGGTAACGATTGGAATAATGTCCTATTGCTGAGAGATGGGCAACCCCATAATTACCTTCTGCCTATGTATCAAGATCATGAATTGTGAGAGATATCAAAAATATTTGAAGGATGCAAAGTTGCCTACCTTTATTATGACTGGTAATGAGAAGTAAATGAAACTGCCAGATCAAACTATATTTCTATTTACATGCTAATGTTTATCACATCTTAAGATTTGAGCTTCACCTTTTTGCCTGACCTATGAACAGAAAGTGGCTCAGTAGTTGATCATAAAACTGAAAATTTTGCTTGGCTTTACATTCATTCAGAGATATGTTCTTTTGTGAAGTTATCGAACAACCAAACATAAATATCAGCTAGAAATAGAATCTGAGATTTGGAACATCTTCTAAATTATGCTTTTTAAAACATAAAAGGAAATTTAAATAGTCATAATTATAGTACAGAATGGTGGCAAATATCTCTTTATTATTAGTTAGATTGACATATAAGTGGGTCTAGGGAGGAGACAAAGCTCTTAAGTAAATATGCAGGTCAAGATTTTTGCTGCCTACAGTGTACTGAAACCTTATTCTTTGTACCAAAACAGTAGTTACCTATGGAATGTTTTGTTAGATCAACCAAATGGAAAATGGAAATCTCTAAACAACTATCATTTCTTAATTTCTAGATGGGAATGATGAACAACCCCAGTCCTTACGTCCCACCGTACAGCCAGAACACTGGACAACCAATTGGAGCCAGTGGGCTTGGTCCTCAGATGCAGAATAAGCCGGTATTGCCCAACAGCTTGCCTCAGTTCCCAATGGACAAGAAGCCAGTGCCTGGTTCAGTAATGCCTAACATGGTAGGTAGTAATTCTTGCATCAAACTGTTGCATAAATTATTTAGGATTCCCCATTGTTTCTTTCCTAGTAACTTGTGCAATGTGCTATTGTTTGCTTGTGGCTGAGACGTATTATGGCTGGGGCATACTTTTTTTTCACAAGTGATTTTGACATTTTTATGTTTTAATATGTGATTATAAAAATTTACTACATGAAACCTATTTTGCGTCCAGTTCAGAAAATATTTATTTACACAAACTAAAAAAATGGTTGTGTGTATCTGCACGTTGTTCAAAAGACTAAGGCTGGATTTACACTGTCCTGTATCCCAGGATCTGATCCTAGATTATCTTCTTATCCCAGATTATATCGCAGTGGAGACTCATATCATTCAGTTCAAAGCAGATTATCTGGGATCAGATCCTGGTATATAGGACAGTGTAGATCTAGCCTAAGTAGTCCCTTGTTCTTTTTTCCAGCGAAGTTTTGTCTTTCGCTTTCCCTTTTGTGCCCTGCTTCCCATTTTTCACAATACAGCATCCAGCAGTAGTCCTATAGCATATTAAAGTTCAAACAACTTTGTTACACTTTTTCCATCTACATAGTCTCTGGATGGAAATGTTTTCCTTGTTTTTCACTTACTGCACCTAGCTTTTCTGTAGAAAAATCCAAGTCTGTATTCAACAACATTGAGCAACAACATTGAGCTGGGTGGTCATCTGATCCTATTATTCTATCTCTGCTGAACTCAGGTGAATGCTTGAGGCAGCACATAGACCATCTATTTGACATTCATACTCTTCTAAGTGGAACTAATTATTTGGATTTATAGCACTTCAGTGGCTCTCCAGCAGGAGTGCAGTTTAGTCATGTTCTGGACTTTCATTTCTTTTTCAGATATAGGCCTTTCTCTTTCATCAATCCCGTTGGCAGTCATTTAGCATTTCCAAAACTCTGGCAGACCTTGCTTTCTATACCCCTTAATGAAGAGGTTCCTGAGGTGTAATAAAAATCTATATCCACCAGTGATAGGACCTGTAACTCACTGGAAACTCAAGATGGTTCTCATTCAATTCTCAAGGAAACACTTTGGTTACTGTCTTGGAAAATCACTTTCTTGGTGTCCATAACTTCAGCCAGGAGGTCACATCAGCTCTGAGCCTTAAGAGTTGGCCCTTCTTAATTCCATTTTCTTAAGAACAAAGTAGTCCTCAGACCTGATATTCCTTTCATGTCACCCTATATATAGGCTGGATGGAGGCTGCTTTTGGGAGGACTGTTCTTTTCTTCTATGTTACATCACACTCCTTATTGCTATGGTTAGAAGCTTGCTTGCTGTGTGAGCCACAGATACCTTTCCCAAAAGAACGGATTGCTTGCCTGTAACTGTGGCTTTTGGAGTGATTATCTGTGAACTCTCATAGTCTTACTCATTCCCTCCTTGTCCTGTCTCCTTTACTGCTGCTTTAGCATCCTGATAGCTGAATGTTTAGGTGGGAACTTTTTTTTTGTATCAGGAGTGACTTGAGAAACTGCAAATCACTTCTGGTGTGAGAGAATTGCCTGTCTGCAAGGACGTTGCCTAGGGGATGCCTAGGGGAAGTTTTGATGTTTTATCATCCTTGTGTGAGGCTTCGCTCATATCCCTGCATGGGGAGCTGGAGCTGGCCGAAGGAGCACATCTGCACTTTCCCAAGATTCGAACCTTTGACCTGTCGGTCTTCAGTCCTGCCAGCACAAGGATTTAACCCATTGTGCCACCTGGGGCAATGGTGCTGGTCTTATGAACAGATTAAAATATGTATTGACAAAACACATTGCATAACTTCAGAAGTTTCTGAAAGATGCAGTGCGCGCACACAGATGAGACATTTATGTAAGTTCAAAGATGATCAGTTGAAAAACCACAGTTTACTAATTTCTGGACTCCTGGAGTTCCTGTTAATGCTATAGTAAAATCTTTCTAAAGAAATATTGGAACCCAAAAAAGATTTAGTGAACCTCATTTGCACAGTATTTGCAAAGAAATACAGGAAAATTATTTACGCTTCCTAGGACAAGACAATGGCAGATACAATATTCAATATCTATTTTGACAAAACAAATAAGACATATTTTAAAAATGCATCTAACCTACATATTGTAGGTTATTAGTAGTTCAAAAGTGCAATGTTTAATGGCTTACATTTTGATAAGATTTCATATTTAAACTCTGTAGTGATCTTTTGTTATTGGAACATCAGGTACTCAACCTTTGTTTCAAGTATAACCATAGATATCAGTAAGCAACAAAGCTGTTCATTTGATTCAGCTCTTAGCTTAGGCAGCTTACAAGGGTTAAAAACAAATGCAGCTAATTTAACAATTTTAAGTGGCAGTATAGTCTTGCACACTATAACCCATATGGTGAAAATCAGTTTAAAAACACTACAATATGAATATGAATTGCAGTAATTAAGTACATCGTAATGAAGGCATATTGTTCTGCTAAATTATGTTACCAGTTTTGGTTGAAATCCAGTTTGTATTGGGTGTACAGATTAAGTTTTAGAGAGAATGTGGTTAAGTAACTTTTATACTATTTAATATTGGTAATCCTAAAAATTAAAATTGCTTGATCTGATTTTTAACAGATGGGTTGAACCCATAAAATTTAAGTAAACATGCATATTATATTGGCCTTGAAGTAGATAATATTTTAAGATAATGAAGTGTAATTTAAGTTGCTTGTTATAATTAGAAAGAAAATACATTTTTTTTCATTTTTGTAAAATAATACAAATTAAAATTAGATAATATTTCACTTGATAAACATGCTTTCCCTCAACTCTGTTCCAAGTATTATAATTTGATCATCAGCTAAAGATTTAATGGATGAAACAGGTAACAGTTTTAAGAGCTAGTCAACAAATGAAATTTCTGTTTAGATTATTTCAGACATCTTGGATTGAACTTGATACAGTAAGGAAAGAATATAGCCATCTGCAATAAGATGGAATAAACTTAATTTTGAAAAAAACATGAAAAGGTGATACTTTTGTTGTGCTAATGCTTTTGTTGGCTACCTATTAAGATGTTATTAGACCAATATACATCATTCTACTTGCTTATTTTTTAAATTTTAATTCCATCTTCTACCTGTCAGTAATTTTTATTCATAGACTAAAAATGTGTACTATTGTACCTTTGTTCATGCTTCTCTTTTAAAATGATCTGCTTTATGCACCCTAGCATGGACGTTTTATGGAGTTCAGTGGCATTTTATTGTGAATAATTCACACAAGTTTGATTTAAATATTAAACTTGTGTAAGAATTATGAAGTACTGTATAGGCAATACCCTGTGCACCACGTGTGCTTAATCTATCATTTTCCATGTGGTACTAAGTCTTTTCATGTGTTGGTTGTTGGTGACTTGAAATATTCAATAATTCTTCTATATTTGGTATTAACTTGGTTTGTGGCTTTAGGGATACTGTATGTCTATAAAGATGTATCTGTCATTCTATTTAGCTTCTGAATATAGGTGAATCCATATAGAATGAGACCATTGTGGTGGATGCAGCTGGTGTTCTTATGCTTTGCACAAGCAGAAAAACTTACTAGAAATGTGATGTCTGAGGCCAAGATTCTGATTTGTTGCTCTCAAGCAAGCTAGGAAACATAAGCCAACAACAAGTATGTGTTGCTTGGAAACAAAGGATGGTGTTTTAAGATATCACAATAGGATGACAATTTCTGGTTGGCTGTATTTGCCTGGAGGAGTGAAACAAAGTGATCCACAGTAAACTAGGATAAGTCAGAAATCCTGTTTTGTTGCTCAGTATAATTCTGTCATGGTGAGTTTCTAAGTTAGCCTTATTAAAGCATAGATTTTCTTCCTCCACATTAGCAAACAGCTTGATGAGTGATCCTAGTTCTCTGATGAATGTTCTGTCTTTTTGACTTACATCAACATATAGATTTCTATTTGCGGCTTTTTATTAAGTAATGTATAGTTTAAATGTTTTAAAATTAAAATGTATTACTTACATCTTTTAAAAAACTTTGACACTCCATATTGTTTTAGATATTCTTTTTTAATTTATATTCTAAAATGCTTTGAGTCACTTTTGGAAGAACAGCAGGAGATATGTCAAATAAATAAATAAATAACAGATTTCTATTTGTATCTCCTTCTTTTCCCTCTGAAGGCTCAACAGCAGACTCCTCCAGTTCAGCAGGCTGGAATGGTGTCAACTGCCCCACAGGGTATGGGATCAGGAGCACCTACTGCAGACCCAGAAAAACGGAAGCTTATTCAGCAACAACTTGTTCTCCTCTTGCATGCTCACAAATGTCAGCGGCGGGAACAAGCAAATGGTGAGGTTCGACAGTGTAACCTCCCTCATTGTCGAACCATGAAGAATGTTCTTAACCACATGACACATTGCCAGGCTGGAAAATCCTGCCAAGGTGAGTGAAGCTTTTATTTCCAAGAAGTTTGTGATCCTGTTGTGTAAAATTCCCCAGGACAAGACCCATTGGAAATCTTACCATTTTACAATGCAAAGTGAATACAGTCTGAAAAGAGTTGAATAAAAGAATAGATTGTAGTCATTTATACTTACAATTTTACAAGGTCATGATAAGAAATTTAAAAAAAGCCTTAGCTGTCAATTTGGACTTTTGTTGTGCAATTGGATTAATAATCTTGTAACAGTTCAGCCTTCTGCAAACTGCAAAGAAATATTCACCTCCTTTTCAATTAGATGGGTCCAAAAAGAAGTCTAGTTGATTACAGTATGAGTCAAAACAGGACCAGAAAAAGTATTTGTGATTCTGAACATCACCAGGAATTTTCAAAGTTACATTTCTATAATCACTTTCAAATAATTGTGATGAGTTCTTAGACATCAGCAGCAGATCTGTTTTACGAATAACCCAGCATTTGTAACTGTCTTTTAGTGGCTCATTGTGCATCTTCACGACAAATCATATCACACTGGAAGAATTGTACACGGCATGATTGTCCGGTGTGTCTCCCTCTCAAGAATGCTGGAGACAAAAGAAATCAACAATGTAAGAAGTTCTTTTGTTCTTCGTCTTATAATTAAGAAATCATGTTTGGTCACTTGGATTAATAAAAAATTAACATGTTCTCGCATTTTACCTCATTTTGCCAAATACTATCAAAAATTCTCCTCCTGTAACTTAAAACCATCGAGCCTAGTTTTGGTTTCTTGGGCAGTGGGAGAACAGGTCTGCTTTCTCTGTGACAGACTTTCAGGTGTTTGCAGTGTGCAGTCATGTCACCCTTCAGTTTTTTCTTCCCAGGCTGAACATGTACAGCTCCTTTAATGTTTCCTCATTTTTTATTCTCCATACTTTATCATCCTTGTTGCCTTTCTCTGAACCCTCTTCAATTTGTCTATGTCCTCCTTAAAATATGGTGCCCAGAACTTAACACAGTACTCCAAAGGTGATTTGGCAAGCATAGAATATAAAGGAACTATTATTCAGACTATAGTGTTACTATTACATTAAATCAATATAAAAGGGAAGAATACATGACTATTAAATGAGTATTTTGCTTTAATTTCCTTAAAAAACCATTAGTATAAACTATCTCTTTAGATTTGTTCTCTCTCCACAAAATGCAGCTTGACATTGGTGATATTCCTTTTTGTTTATAATCACAACTCAATTGATTGAAATCTTGTATTGCCACAGTGCAATGCAGCAGTTTTGATCAATTTATCACTAAACTTTAAGCATGATGGTCTACAGTTGACTTGTATCTTCTTTTAATAGTCAAAATCGTTTTTTTAGAAGTCCAAAGTGATACCAAAATCTGTGAATGTCCCATTATAAATAAAGGTGTAGTAAAATGGCATCTGTTACATAAAATGGCAAAATCAAGGTTTGTTTTTTGGAATTAATAAATGAATGAAGATATATATATATAGATAGAGAGAGATACACACACATACATATACATATATATATTCTCATTAAAACTATGGATGATGGAATCCATGGATACAGAGTGCCATTTGTAGTGCTTAAAAAACACATTTCATGTTGGTTTTCATTTCTTTTAGCATTATTAGGTGGTGCTGCAGTGGGACTTGGCAATTCTGGATCCGTAGGAGTTGGACAACAAACGACACCCAATTTAAATGCTACTAACCAGATTGACCCCAGCTCTATTGAAAGGGCTTATGCAGCTCTTGGACTGACGTATCAAGGGAACCAGATGCAAACCCAGACTCAAGCTCAAGTGAAGAGCCAACAACAGGGACAGTCACCACAAGGTCTTCGCCCCATGAATCCCACAAGTAAGTTCATCTAATTATTTGTGGCCACAGATCCTTGAATTTTATTAAATATTCTTATTCCTCTAAATTATACATTCTTTGGGAGAAAGAAAGTGGTGGAAGACTTTTTTTTTTTTGCAACAAAAGGAGGTTCTTGAGGTTCCTTGGAGTGTAGCATGACAGTAAAATGGAAACCGTGATAGTTTTATAGCTAAACCAGAGCTCAACAGTTCCTGTTAATTTCTTGCAGTTCTCCTTCACTACTTCCTGTCGTCATAATAGCCATTTAGTCTAGTACAGGTAATAATTTGAATTTGTTCAGAAAAAGCTACAAGAAAATAATGGGATTATAGGATTGAGATGCCATGTTAAGTTACTAGATGATTGAGACAGTTTTAAACAGTGGATTTTAATGTTGAAATAAATAATTTTATTGTTTATGTATGTGTACAGTTTATGTCTTGGCATTGAATGTTTGCCTTTTATATGTTGTGCTCCACCCTGAGTCCTCTTCAGAGTGAGAAGGGCGGAATATAAATTCTTTAAATAAATAGAACTTCATCATTTTGCAAATTTACAAATGCTATGTTTTGGTACCATTTTTCAGTAAAAATAACAAAGGAGATGGCAATCGTGAAATATTAAAGTAATAAAAAATGAAAAAATGTAACAGTCTAGATTAAAAAGATATCACTTTTTTAATAGCAATTGAAATACATCATAATGTGGTAGAATTCCTGAAACACATTAATGTTGTGTCAAGGGTCTTAAATACTTACCTACAGTAAACAATAAAAAACTATGCTGAAACATGAGTTGCTAACCCTCACCACCCATTTTTCACCTAGATGCTAATCCCATGGGAGTGAATGGAGGTGTTGGCGTTCAAGCCCAAAGTCTGATACCTGAATCAATGTTGCATTCAGCTATGAATTCTCAAAAGTAAGTTGATTTTTGTTTAATTCTATGCATAATGCTTTTTGAACAATGTATTAATCAAATAAGTCACTAAAACCTTGTACACATATAGGACAGCAATAGCAAAATGTAGATTTTTAACGTGAGTTCTTTTGAGGAGGTGGTGGTGGAATATTTCATTTTTGGAGTCATGGGGCATACAGGCCTTAATAGATCTGTTCTCATTTATTGGATGGCCAGAATTCAAGTTCAGTATATTTGGAGTAGTGTTGGGGTACTCTGTGTTCTCTCAGCCACAGGACTTCACCTTTACTTATAGATCTTACCAAAAAAAGAGAGTTAAAGACAAAATATGGTTAACTGCCATCCTTTTTGGCATTTGTCATCTTATTTGTTCTGAATTTTCAAGAGGTTTTGCTAAAAGATTTTGAAAAACCAGTTCTATAATGATTGAAAAATGTAAGCATATGAATGTTGCTGAGGAACTGTTTTTCTGCTTTTTGGGAGCATTTTGCTAATGATATGCATGATCCAGAAGCTTTTCAACCTGGAGGTCTGCATAGAATGCTGGGCCGAGGTGTTCACACAAATATATCCCCCTCCCCAAGTAATGAACTTTCCTGATGGAGAGTTAAAACATGGCATGAATGGGAAACTGTACTTAATGAGGGTTGCAGGTTGTGCACCACTGTTGTACAGCGTATTGTGTATAGGCTATTACAAATAATATGAATAGGGCTGTGTGTGAAAGTTTTAGGAATTTTAATTCAGTGCCATGAAAAATGAACTCTAATGAATAGATGCATTTCAGAAATCAGTTTAAATTTGCTGCTTCTTGAATACTCTTATTTCTGATGCTTGTTGAGTGGGAAAGGATTGCAGTAGGGCCATGAAGCTCCAACTTCAGTCAAGTATATCTTGATTGACTAATTTAATTTCAGTTTGAGGGTGCTTAAAGGTTGCCTACAGAACAAAAAACATATCTTACAAAACTCACAGAACAGCAAGAATAAACAATCAAAATCAAATTAATAACTTCATTAAAAAAACCCCAAACAATAACACCAAAAACAACCAAATAAGAAAATTAAAATCATTCATGCCCTCAAAAATCCATCAAGCAAGACCCATAAAAACCTTAGGAAAAAGCCAGGGAGAATAGATATGGATTTTAGGTATCTTGTGAAGCCTGCATATGATTTCTCCTACACTCCAGTGGATATTATGTTTCCTAATTAAGACACCTCCACTGAAAAAAAAAATCCATATGCCTGCTAGTCCAAATGTTCTGAAAAGGGTGCACACAAGCATAGCCCCCGTAGACGGCCCCATTTATTTATTTATTTATCGTGTCATCAGCAATCTGTAGACGGCCCCATTGAACAAATGGTAATAATCTAGGTTGAATATTCCTATTATGTGGAACCTCCAAGGCAAATCTGCCTTCTTCAGATAGAGCTGTAGCTGGCTTACTAGACTGAATTCTGCATGTTTTTATTCCTAGACTATCACTGCCCTTGCCCCAACAGTAAATTTTTCAATTTCAGAAGTTTAAATCAGGTTTTAAATTAGACTCCTTTTACATGTGAAAATAACGTAGAGCTGAAATTTCTTTGAAAGGCCAAAGTTACTTTTTTATAGATGCTACTCACCTCTTTATCTGTTTGCTTTTGGTTAAGAATCTATACATAAATAGACTATAGTCTTCCAAAATATCTTACCTTGACTATCGCTTAGCAGCTTCATTTCATTTTTCAGCCCTATGATGAACGAAAATGCCAATGTTGCCAGTCTAGGGGCCATGCCAACTGCAACTCATCCATCTGGCATCGGGATTCGAAAACCATGGCATGAAGATATTACTCAGGACCTCCGAAATCACCTTGTTCATAAACTGTAAGTATTGATCACTAAATTCACTTTATGAAAATTGAAATAGCAAAAGATGTATACTGGAGTGGGCAAATGTGCCGGAGCCAGTCTTCTCACAGTGTGCCAGAAGACTACATGTGTCCATCCATTTTCTTTCTTTGACTTGCAATTGTCATTATGGAGGCCACAAAGAAGTGCTTTAGATGAGCAGTTCAGGGTATGCATGGAAGAGCATTTTCACCATTTTTCAGGTGTTTTTGTTTTTGTGGTGAAAATTGTCTCAAATGCTCACTGAAATTTTAAATGTAAATATATTATGAGAAGTTAATGGGAGGGGACTTCATGGGCCATAAAGTGGGATCTCGGGATTGCACTTTCCCTGTCTGAAGGGTCTTTGATGCATCTGAGGCATTTCTATCTATTGATTTTTAAAAAATAAAACCTCTGCAATTGCTGTTCATGGTGTTGTGTAGGGGAGTTACACAACACCAGGTTAAGAAAAAAATAATACGACAAAACTGAGATTAAGAAAAAATAATATGACAAAACCAAAATGTAAGCTGTGTTCCAAATTTCTTTCTAACCTACTAAATCATTTGGTGCAAAAAGAAACTATACAGAACTGTTGGGTTCATCACTGAGAGAGAGACAACTAAGAGGGCCCAGTTGTATGACCCTCATCTGTCATAGTGGTCTAGTTTACTTATCCTGATAAATCAGAAGACTGAGCATGACTTGGAGTAGTACTGTGTACTGCCTGATCACTATGACAGTTTACCCTGTAGTCATTTTGTTCATGTCAGGACACAGCCATTAGTCTTGCTTATATCAAACTTTTTTTCTAATATGTTATGGGGAAGGGAACAAATCACAATGTGGGCTGTGCCTGTATTGAGCCAACATGCAAAACAAAAAATTGTCTGTTTAGATGATGCTTCTGCAACTAGACGTGATAGTGTAATGTACATCAGCACGATACTTTTACTGTATGAGTCCCGGTAACATATAATCTATTCTGCTTCCCAATGCTGTTGCTACACCGCGGTCGTTCAATCAAGACACAATTTCATACTTTTCCCATCTTAACAAGAAATTAGGTGGAGACCGTGATGGGTAGATATATCCAATGAATGTTGTAGCCTACCTCATTTTTTTTCTTAGAAGTTTCCAGGACCACTATTCCTGTCCTCATAGAAAGCAAAAGCAAGGCACCCATGTATCTTCTCATGAAAGCTGGGAGTTCACTCCTGGCCATGGCAACATTAAATCAGAGAAAAGGCTAATGGTGAAGATCATCTTTGCCCCACCTTAAATAAGATGTCTATCATTTCCTAATTTTTTGTAGGATTGCTATATCTTCAGTTGAATATAACTCAGATATCCAAAGAAGAGGGTCAGGCAAAATTATCAAGGAAATGCAGGCACAGCAAATAAAAGAGCCTTTGATATGAACCATTTTAAACATTGCAATGCTTCAGTTTTGGGGACTGAAGAATAATTTCACTTAGGAGGGAACAGAAATGTTATTTTGCAGGAGCCCCCGGTGGCGCAGTGGGTTAAAGCCCTGTGCTGGCAGGACTGAAGACCAACAGGTCGCAGGTTCGAATCCGGGGAGAGGCGGATGAGCTCCCTCTATCAGCTCCAGCTCCTCATGCGGGGACATGAGAGAAGCCTCCCACAAGGATGATAAAACATCAAATCATCCGGGCGTCCCCTGGGCAACGTCCTTGCAGACGGCCAATTCTCTCACAACAGGAGCGGTCGCTCCTGACACGACAAAAAAAAAAAAAAAAGGATGTCCCCCCCCCCCCAAAGGATGTCCTTCCCCACAATAATTTGGCACAGATTCTAGCTACACATTTGATAATTTTGTGCAGTCTTCAGTACTCAGGTGGAACCTCTTCAAATGCTCTAAAAGAATTAGAGCTTGTGTGATTTGGTTTTTGAAAACTTTCAGTGAATACAGAAAAAACATTTTTACTTTTTTGCCATCATACTTTAAATATGTCATCCTATGTTTATTTTTTAGCTTTTACTTAGGTGTTGATGACAGTGTACTGAGAATAAAGTATGGTGTATCTTAACAATTTATCCCTGCTCTGGTTGGATTCCAGTTTTCCTTTACAAAGGAAAAAAAGTGCTTGGGTTGGTTCTCAGTAGGATGCATTATTATTATTTCTTCTTTTCTTCCTTTTGTTTGGCCGTGGTGGTTAATCTTTGAGGACTTCTAAATATGTCAGGATCGGTGGAAGTGGATTCATTAGCCCAGCTGCCTACGTAATGTTCCTAGAAGGAAGTGGGCTAATAACAGTGATATGCATTATTATATAATCTTCTTTTAAATACCTGAGTAGAAAAATAAAAGTTGCATTTTGCTTATTGCTTTATTAAAATATTGATAAGTTGATTTGGAAACACAAATATTCTGGAGGCCATTAGTATATTCAGAAATTTTCCCTTTTTTTTTTTTTTGTTTTTTGTGCAGAGTACAAGCCATATTTCCAACGCCTGATCCTGCAGCACTAAAAGATAGGCGCATGGCAAATCTTGTCTCTTATGCTCGGAAAGTAGAAGGAGACATGTATGAATCAGCAAATAGTAGGGTAAGCTGTTAAACTTTATAACTCTTTTGGAATTGGATTTATTGTATAGTGAATATTCTTTTTTATATACATATTATTTCTAATCTTTTATCTTTTCTGTACATCTACTAAAATAATTGTATTTCCACCATTGTAGCATGCATCTGAAACATCATTTGGAAGGAATGCTTCCGCAATGCCAATGAGTCATTACCTGTATATGGTTCCATTACCTATGAAACAAATTAGAATGATTTAGGTTCAGCATGCAGGCTGGGGTTATGCAGACGTGCAGTCTTAGTTGTTATAGGTTTTCTTTATGGATCAGAGTAATTGGATACCATTCAGTAATATGGGGGGGGGGGGAGTGGGATTTCAATGGCAGGGGGTAGAGTTTATTTATTTATTTATTTCCTATATTTATACCCCGCCCTTCTCCCCCCGAAGGGAGTTGGGCCATTTACTTCCCCTCTTTCCTAAACCCCCATCCCCAGTCTAAGTAATTGTATTGTAAATGCTCTCTGTGTGTATTCAGACCACCCTTCCAAGTGATCAGCATTTTACTAGTGTTGCATAAAAACAAACTTCCAATGAGAAAAATGCATCATAAGAAGATACAGCTGGATAATTTCTTCAGTTTTTATGTTATTTTTTATTCCCCACTATAGGCAGAGTATTACCATTTATTAGCAGAGAAGATTTATAAAATCCAGAAGGAATTGGAGGAAAAAAGGAGGACAAGATTGCAGAGGCAGAACATGATCCCAAATCCCCCGGGCATGCCACCAGCCCCTATGAATCAAGGGCCTATGGGGCAGCCACAGCCTGGAATGACAGCAAGTAAGTGTGCTATATGTACATTATTGGTCTATGGTTTCCATTCTATTCAAAAATCTAAGTGACATATACCATGTAGGACAATATGGTGTGATTTAGATGTTGCTTGTGTGAATGAAACAAGTAAATGAACAAGAGTGATTGTATACTTTTCTCAAAAAACAAAACAAAACAAAAAAAAACCTGTTAAGTTGGTGGCCAACTATTGTTTCTAGTACCCAGATCTCGTCGTTTTCATTTTCTGTTCTACCAAGCCAGAGCGTACTGTGGGCACCCAATGATCCCAGTTTTTACGTCCATGGATTTGTTTATTTGTTAGTTTGCAACAACGTGGCAATGTCACAGAGCCACAGCATATGTATTCATGAATAGCCCCTGGCTTTGGGATGGGGAGGGGGGACAACAGAGATAATCGCAGCTGCCAATAACCACCTCTCAGAATCCAAGGTAGTTGTGTTAATGTTCTCACAAACAATGTCAGGCTTTGACTGGACCAGCAACATTTGCGAAACGTCTCCCAAAGTCAGCTGTTGGCTTGTGAAGTGGTTAGCAATGGTCAGCTTTTCTGCTCTCCTCAAACTCCATGCAAGTGTGTCAGGTTTCAGGAGGGCAGACCACCAGCAATCGCACATCCCTCCCGTCCATCTGTAGCACGGAGCCTTTGGTGGTGCAATGGGTTAAACCCTTGTACCGGCAGGACTACTGACCTAAAGGTTGGCAGTTCAAATCTGGGGAGTGGGATGAGCTCCTGTCTGTCAACTTCAGCTTCTCATGAGTGGTAATGAGAGAAGCCTCACACAGGATGGTAAAACATTGTCCCCTGGGAACGTACTTGCAGACAGACAATTCTCTCACACCAGAAGCGACTTGCAGTTTCTCAAGTCCTCCTGACACACACACACACACACACACACACACACACACACAAACTGTAGCTCAGGGCTGCTATGTGAATGTGTAGTTTTGTGAAGGAACATAGTAGCTGAGGAGTAATCCATGGAGCATTGCCCCTTCACCACTATAGGCATGTTTTTTCCACTTCCATGGCAGTCCTGTGTCCCTCTCCCCACGAATGCTGCAGTCTGATTGTAGTATTTTTGCATCAGTGACAGCCTTTCCAAGTGGTTGTGTTGTTTGAGTTGGTAGGAACCCCGTATCACTGAGCCCATGCACAAAATATACCCTGCTGCCATTTTGAAAGCATAACTGATTGCTTCTTTTTTTCCCCACCAGTTTTTAAAATGTTGCATTTCTGTTGTATACTAAAAATATATTAGAACCAAGCTCATGATAGCCCCTGGCAATTCTACTTGTGGACCTATGGTGTTTCTCATACAGTTGGAACCAACTTTTGTTTTATTTAAAATTATTTTTAGAACACCTACTATAATATCTTTCCAAGGTGGCATGTATATTTCCTTTAAAAGTACAAAATGAAATGATTTAAAACAGCAGTTCAGAAATAATGGCATGTGAGAACAAGTGTGTCTTCAGGGTGTTAATGAAGACCTACAAGGGAGGTATTTGAGAATCACCAAGTGGAAACTCATCTAGGCCTTTGTCCTTCTGCCGGCAAAAGTAGCTGACCTCGACAGTGGAAAAGTGAGAAGGAGTTCAATTGGCCAGCAGTACTGTATGGTGCCTTTTGGTATATAGTCACTGTACTTCCAAATATTGCCTTTTAATGATTAGTATCCTGGTGCCTTTGTAGTTTGTGCTTAACAGTTGAAATTTATTTAAGACTAGCTTGTGGACCCGGCGCTGCCCGGGTTATTAGAGAAAGTGGGTAATGGCGGTTCTGTATGCCAAGTTTGGTCTTTATTGGTCATTGGATAATGGCTGCATTGATGGATGAGGGTGGTAGTGGTTTCAGTAAGTGAGTGAAGGTAATGCAAGTCCCATCATCCAAAGTCCATCCTCCTTCAAACTGCAGCAGGATGTAGAGTGGGTCATGGGGGCTCTGTGTGCTAAGTTTTGTCTTGATCAGTCATTGGATTAGGGTCGCAGTGGTTTCAGTAAGTGAGTAAACATACTGCAAGTTCCATCATCCATGGTCTGTCCTCCTCCAAACTGCACCAAGATGTAGAGTGGGTCATGGGGGCTCTGTGTGCTAAGTTTGGTCTTGATCAGTGATTGAATTAGGGTCGCAATGGTTTCAGTAAGTGAGTAAACGTACTGCAAGTCCCATAATCCATTGTCAACCCTCCTCCAAAACTGCAGCAGGATGTAGAGTGGGTCATGGAGGCTCTCTGTGCCAAGTTTGGTTTTGATCGGACATTAGATGAGGGTTACAGCAGCCTTGGGAAGGGAGTGGAGGTACTTGAAGTCCCATCATCCATGGTCTGTCCTCCTCAAAAGTGCACCAGGATGTAGAGTGGGTCATGGGGACTCTGTGTGCCAAGTTTGGTCTTGATCAGTCATTGGCGAGGGTCTCAGTGGTCTCAGGAAGTGAGTGAAGTGACTGCAAGTCCCATCATCCATTGACAAATTCTTCCAAACCGCACCAGGATGTAGAATGGGTCATGCAGGCTCTCTGTGTAAATTGTGGTCCTGACCCATCATTGTTGGCAGTTGTAATGGTCTTAGGAAGGGAGTGCAGGTATTGCAAGTCCCATCGTCCATGGTGCATCCTCCTCCAAACTGCACCAGGATGTAGAGTGCATCATGGAGACTCAGTGTGCCAAGTTTGATCTTTATCGCTAATTGGATGAGGGTTGCAGTGGATTGAATTGAGCAATGGTACGGCAAGTCCCATAATCCATGGTCCATCCCCAGTCAAACCACACCAGGACATAAAGTGAGTCATGAGAGGTCTATGTGCCAAGTTTGGTCCTGATCAGTCATTGGATGAGGTTAACAGCGGTCTCAGAATGTGAGTGATGGTACTGCAAGTCCCATCATCCATGGTTCATCCTCCTCCAAACTGCAGTAGGATGTCGAGTGGGTCATGGGGGCTCTGTGTGCCAAGTGTGGTCTGTATTGGTAATTTTCTGACACAGCCCCCTCTGGCCTTTTCCTTTCCTCTCTTTGTCATCTCGGAATCTTGGAATTGAGGCTGGCCAATCAGAGACCATATGCAAATTTCCTTCTGTCATGTCCCTGTTTCTGTCATGAACCCTTTTCTCCACCAGGGGCTCCTGTTGAAGCAGGCCAATCAGGGATCATATGCAAATAGCACCACAGCAGCAGCCAGTCAGAATCTTGGAACTTTCAGGCTGGCCAATCAGAAAGCCGGCACATACACTGCCACACATCCGCCGCATACAAACTTTGACTTTTATTATATACTAGCTTGGGGACCCGGCGTTGCCCGGGTTATTAGAGAAAGTGGGTAATGGCGGTTCTGTATGCCAATTTTGGTCTTTATTGGTCATTGGATAACGGCTGTATTGTTTTCAGGAAGTGAGTGAAGGTCCCATCATCCATGGTCCACCCTCCTCCAAACAGCAGCAGGATATAGAGTGGGTCATGGGGGCTCTGTGTGCCAAATTTGGTCTTTATCAGTCATTGGATGAGGGTCGCAGTGGTTTCAGTAAGTGAGTGAAGGTACTTCAAGTCCCATCATCCATCGCCAAATTTTTCCAAACGACACCAGGACATAAAGTGGGTCATGAGAGGTCTATGTGCCAAGTTTGGTCTTGATCAGTCATTGGATGAGGTTTGCAGAGGTCTCAGAATGTGAGTGAAGGTACTGAAAGTCCCATCATCCATGGTCAACCCTCCTCCAAAACTGCAGCAATATGTAGAGTAGGTCATGGGGGCTCTGTGTGCCAAGTTTGGTCTTGATTGGTCATTAATGAGGGTTGCAGCAGTCTTGGGAAGTGAGTGGAGGTACTTGAAGTCC